ACCAAAACGCACACATCGCCTCATTGAGCCGCTGAAAGACGGCTATTAAAAGAGATTTTTCTCCACCTCTTTTATTTTATTGAAGAGTCTCCTCTTCTTCTCTGACAGCTAACCTTTTGTTTTGTCTCAGCTTTTCAATTTGTTCATGAATATCTACTTTAATGTGAAAATGCTGTTTTTGATAAAACTGTTGAATTCTACAGATCACCAAAAACAAACATCAGCTGTTTGCATTACTCTGTACTTTATGCTGTGTGCTCCACATTTTTAGCTTTAACTTTTCCTGCCTTTCCTCCAGCATCTCCCTGAGGACCGAGACTGCCCACTCGCACTGCCCGTCTTCTGATAATACTAAACCCACAGATTTATTGTAGATCTAGACCCTTCAAGACCCAGAGGACAACAATCTGCCCACATTAGTTTCCCCAGACATGCTCTCCAAGGCAGCCTGCAGGCTGGACGCAGAGCCAAGCATGACAGAAAATAATCCTCTTCTACCAGCCGACACAGCTCCTATTAAAGCCGTTTGGTTTAGGTTTAAAAATATTACACCAATTCTGCAGCTTGGTTTGACATTTTCAGACAAAGCTGTCAAAAATAATCAACTGAACATGAGACCCCCATGCAAATCGAGATATTAATTAATTGTATGTCACATTGTTTTTATTCAAAACGTGGGGTCTGCATGAGTGAGTCCAGCCTAATGAACCTTAAACTGCTGGATTTCAGAGGTTATAACAGCGGACGTTAATTCAGCCTCAGGCAACAAATGGCCAACAGGGATGATGAGCAGTGAGCTTCACAGCCTTGGATTTGTCTAATTCTTTAAAAGTTAGCTTGCAGGAACAGTTGCTAACCTCAAATAGATGACAGGCACCAATATAGGCTCTTTATGTGAATGAATTAATAAATGAAAATATTTCATCTGTTTAGATCTGGGTTTTTGTAACATATTTATCAATCAATCCATGTTGACTTGCCGATGTCCAGCAGAGGTGAAAACATTAAACAAATGAATATTTTTTCACCAAGTTATGATTGCTTTGGCTAATTTGATAAAACTCAGTCGTCTCTTCTATGCAGAATTATTCTAGTTCAAATACATTAGAGACTTTTGAGCATCAACAGGTTTGAAACCATCCTATGGCTTCTGATTAGATTTAATTCCAGACTTTGCCTAACCTGTACATTTACTTTAATTTATGGTCAAATATTCCTTAAAAGCTTATAAAATATAATCTGTCAGAAGGAACATTATATGGATTTTACTGAATTTATACTGTAAAATTCTGATAACCACAGCTGCTGGTATTTTACCAAAAATTAGAGCTGTGTTTTTACAATGTTGATAACTCCAAAAAAACAAATGTTTATTTTTAGATATTTTTTTAATGATAAGAAATTCACTGTCTGTATGCTCTACAATATATTGTGACTTCCCCTGACTTCATATGCAGACATGATGAAGTAATAATGGTCAAAATTCACTGCAATATGTCTGCATTTCAATCATTTGACAGCTCCAATCAAATAAGCAAACATAATGTGCAAAGAAAACGTCAAAGCAGCTCAATGCATGTCAGAGAAAGAGGATCACAGACGTACAGACTCAAATTCTTCTTGACATAATTTCTGAATGACTGAAAATCCAGCTGCACTCAGCTTGAAAAGAGACTCGTACTGTCATCTAGGGAGCAGGTGTCCCGACTTACAAGCTGCTGGATCTGCAGTTTAAGAAGATGCAGAGTATATAAACTTACATCGCTCTAAGCCGAGAGGCTGCAGATTAACAGAAAACAAAACATCTGATCCAGGATCCAAAACTCAAACATTTTACAACTTGTAAATATGGACAAACGACAACACCTTCTGTCAACTTATGTGGGAGCAGACATGCACATTTAGCAAATTTCAGACTGAGATAACCAACAGTTGTCAAACTTTTTGATGCATTATTAGATTCTATTTCTGACTCAAGAAAAAAACCAAAATATAACAAATTATTCACCTTGCAGCTGTTTCACATTAGCAAACCAATTACCATAAAACAAAGTTGGAAATTAAGAAAACATAGTAAGATGATGAATTTTGCATCAAACTTGGTCTCTGAAAAGATGCAAATGTTTGATCAGAACTTTGCCAGGGACATGCAATTTGGTTACAAAGGGCCTTAAAGAATGACTCTACACATACACAGCTAAAATAATTCTCAATTGCATTTTTATCAACAACTATAACACAACACACATGCTTATAATTGGATTGGCACAAATCTGCAGTTGGCAATCTGAGCAGTGCAGACCGTGCAATGGGAGCTAACTAAACAACATCAATAGTAAACATTTTCCACAGAGACGAAGAGGAGAAAAAAGAAGTAATTCCATGCACCGTGCCACTCTACTCCTTTAGATTTCACCAGGCTCAATCAAGAGCCCTTTATCCTCTGGCTCACATCCTCAGACAGGGGATCCAGAGCTGCCATAAAATGGGTCCGGGAACAATGCACAGCCTTGATTGCTCTATTGTGAGTTAGCTTTGGCCTTTGACATCTTCTCCTGAACCAAGAGTGTCTAATTCTGACAAGATTTGTCTGGAGAGACGCAGCTGGAGGGCATTGTTACAGACAGGTGCCATACACTGCCTGCTTGACAAAGAAAGTCAAGAGTAAGACAATGGCGGAGAGGAAGAAACCGCTGCAGTAGAAGTGTCTGCTCATTTCCTGTTTCTCTTTTTAGTCAGGGTGAAGGTGTCCTAAAGGTTAGAGAGGTAGATAACAGAGGAAGCATGTCCATGGAAACCCCAGAGGGTACATGTGTAGCATTTTGCTCATTTAGCGGCTGCAGACTAAGGATGGTGTTATGTCTGCAGGGCTGAAGAATGCTGCGCAGGAAGGGCAAAGTCTACAACAAAAAGCATGACTGCTAAAAGAAAATGCAGAAAATACAGTGCGAATCAGTTTGAGAGCGAGTATCAGTCATCTGAAATCACTTCACTGTGCAAAAGTGCAAACCGATATCAAAAGAGATTGAGTTACTGAGTGAAAGTGAAGAGGATGTGTCATCTAGTCATGACCTGAATGACTGAGAAAACCAGGAGGATGTTTGGTTCCACCGTAAAAACAGACGGCAGGCATTCATCTACATATACAGTCAGTATTTACATAAATATTAATATATTATTTGAGCCTAAAACAAAAGTAAGAGTCAAAAATGTTTGACATGATCTCGTTGCTACAATATATAAACTGAAAAGCATCAGTTGTTCCCACTAATGCTAACGTAACAGACTATTACAGGCGTAATGTCTAAAACATTTAATCAATGCTACTTCAAATTCCATACATAGAGGACAAATATAGAGTAACTAAAGCGAAATTAAGTGTTAGATTTTAAGTGATCATTATGCAATTAATTAGTTAATTAAAGTGGATGCCTGCAGTCGAGCGCTTCACTGACATGCTGCTTGCATCGCAGCTTGTTAACTGTACTTCTAAAACAACATGGCGGTCCACTACTTTCCACACAGGAGACATTTACTCCTTTCACATCATCTCTACATGCATTTTTTAACCCAGTAATATTTCAACATCTCTATTTTGAAGTAAGTAAACAAATGTTGACTTTTCTTTATGTTTTTTAAGCAGACTTAGAGATTGCACCTTTTTTTCAGTCACTAAATGCTGTTGGACAGGAAACTGTAGTTTTTACCCAACAGGACCACAAACTACAGTATCTTGCAAAATCTTGGCTGATCAAGATATCTGTGAAAAGCTCTGATTCTCTGTGCAAGTTTAATCAAAAAGTATGTAAAATGCCTTCCAATATTTTGGGTGATCGTTTCAATGAAGATGTGTTCATATGTAATTTCTGTATAACCAACATAGAAAATACAAAGTAGAGCATTTTTTATAATATATTTAACATTAAAACATTTTCATAAAACCTTACAAAAAAAAAAAAAAAATCTGAAAACATCCTGTTTGTATCTTCAAAATACACATCTAGGTTTATTTTTCTATCTTCTACTCTTTAAGTGAAGTAAATTTAGTCAGTTTTAGATTTTGAACCTAAAAATGAGTTTGAGAAAGATAAACTTACAGTAGTAGTAAGTTGTGTTAATTTTTTATTAATTTTGTCAAACCTCCATGAGTTGAATAAAGCAGTTTTTATGTTAGCACTTAAAAAAACTGAAAAAGGAAAAAGACAGGAGTGGGAACTTTTTCCCAGAATGCTTAGCGGCTTGTTTTTGCATCCTGAGACAGAAGTGCATTACATTAATTTGACTCCTGTATTATTAAGGCAAATGTTTATTATAAATATTGAGGATAATACCCTGTTCACACTTAATCTTCTTAAACAATTAATTTTTATGTTTAATAAAATTTATGATCAGATCAGAAATTTTGTTCTATCAATTTGACAGAAGAATTTAAGTTATTCTAAAGTAAAATATTTCTTTTAACTTGATATTGTGATTGAAAATAATAGAGAAATGTGGCCCTTTAACTCAGTGAGGGAAGTTTTTTGTTGCACATAGTAAAATAATTGTTTGGCTTAAATTGCAGCATTAAGTTAAAACTCACAATTCAAGATTAATAAAATTAAAAAACAATGTTTAGACAACTTGACTCTTGTTAAATCAACTTTATGAACTTTTGTTTCTGAGTTAAAACCAATTAACTGTTATAAAGTTAAATTACTTTGTCAAGGCAGCAGGTGGACATTTTCATTTTAAACCACCTTTAATATTTTACAGTGTACTTTTAAAGATAAATTTTCAAATCTCACTGTAATGGATAAGAAACCATGTTGACCTTTACTGCCACTGATATCATCTCTGCATTATTCAACAATAACATTGTGATCAGACATTTCTAATATTGTGCAGCCTATCAACACTCGTCTTGTTTTTGTCTGTGTGTAGCGAGATGGAAGATTTTTGAAGGATATTCTCCTACTGTCTCTCAAAAAGCATTTACATTAAGTTTTGAAATAACTTACAGCCCTTGTATATATCTGTGGGAATCTGGACGGCACTGGAGGAGTAGTTGACCTTGTTTTTAAAATTTGGATCGTCGACAAACTCCAACTCCAGGGAGGACGAGGTCTCCAGCGGAGCTTCCTCCTCTCCGTCCTCTGTCTGCTGAAACACACACAGAGAGGGAAAAAAAACCCAGGATTACAGAGCTGCATTTTGTAACTTTCTACACTGTGATTATGGAAGACATATTTGTTCTCGGCATATATTATCTTTCTTCCTGACTCGCCGAATTTGAATCATGTTAAGCATAAAAATGGTGATTATTCTGCCTTCTGTCTGACCTCAGATTCTGTTCTCTGCCTCTAATCAGAGAAAAACAGCAGGTATGAGCTCAGTTATGAAACCGGGATTCATTAGTAGCTATGATAATTATCACAGACCAATGTGATGTTAGAAGAATTAACCCCAGCGACTGGCATCACCTAATTACTGTTTATTTTCTCGACCAGCATATTTGATTACAGACTTTCTTCTCTCCTGCCTCATAATGTGAGTAAGAAACTCCCATCTTAGGGTGTTTTGTTTGCAATTTGAGGCCATATTTTGCATTTCAGAAGAACCAGATGTCAAACAAACCCAACATATTAAAAAAAACAAAAACAAATGTTTGGCAATGTTATGTGATTTATCGGATGAAATGATTGGAAGAAACAACACAATTCATTTGCTTGTTTCTGATTTGACATAAAGAAGTGCACCCAATAAAAAATAACTACCACAACTTTACCACTTATACAATTAATTAATTCATTTATTTTACACTTGTTGAATAAAGAAAGTCCTGAATCCTGACAACAGCTAAGCTTAAAAATTTCATTTTGATAAAGCAGCAAGGACTAATTGGATGTGACACGACTAAAAAAATGTTTTTGTTTTGTTTTTTCCAAAGAATGTGAATCAAAACCTCTTGTCCACAGCTGAAACTGATTGATGGGCTGGCTGTAATTGACTATTAAAACGCAATTAGAAACTGCTGTCAGGACGAGCCAGAGGACCTTCGAGACGAAGCTCCGCTGTAAGAAACAGAGGCGGCGATAAACGTTATGAAAGAAAATAACCCATGAGAGGATTTCCAGCTCAACAATTTTCATAAAAATCTGAGATTGATCTGAAAATGATCAGCGATGTTTAAAAAATGAAAAAGAAAAAAAAAGCTAAATAAAGGCTTATTAAAAACATAATTCTGTATATTTCTCTCGTTCTTAGACATCACTGTAGTTACGCTGCTATAGAGTCAGGCTGCTTGAGGACAAACCAACCACTTTTTCTCACTTTCTTCTTCTACTACTCTCCGATTTGCAATTCTGACTGTTATTTCAATTGTTCATTTGATGCTTTAAAAATGAAAGAAGACATCAGTTGAGATATTGCTGCCAAAAGTCTAAATATTCTCCCTCCCTGCTATTAAGTTTATACTTTTTATGAAATTAGAAAAAAAGTCCTACATCATCTGTTTCTTTTTTGTGCATCTGATTTCCACTCATACTGAGCCCGGTTCTGCTGCAGATTTCTTCTTGTTAAAGGGGCGTTTTTCCTCTCCACTGTCGCCACATGCATGCTGAGCATGACGGATTGCTGACACAACACAGGCGATTGTCTACCAGGAAAGAATGCTGGTAATCAATGAGTTTTATTTTATTTTTTTACAATAGCATAATTTTTTTTACTTGAATAATTAAAGAAACTTTCATTTCCTCAAATAGCTAAAAATGAATTTTTTTTGTTTTTTCCACACAATTGGGTTTTAAAATGTTGGCTTTTACATCAGTTGACTGTCAGAGCTCAGTATTTGTTTGTCATTTAGAGTGACTAATTCTCTCAGTGTTGAGCTGGTGCCCCCCCCTTCCTCCAGTAGAGCCCAATCATAATTAACCAAGGCAGTGCCTAATTAGAAGCTGAATAAATCCACACAGGAAAGACTGATTGGTTCATTTTCTTCAACCATCTACCACCTGTTTTGCTCGATCCATTACCCAATTTGTTAATTTTATCTCCCCGTTCTCGAGGTTTAATTAAAGGCTGAAGAGGCCAGAGATGACATTTCAAAGCTTCTTCCAGTCCCGCCCTACGCCGACCACGGCTAACCAGAAGCATCACTCATGGACCTGGGTGTGCGTCAGATCAAAGCGACATCACACACACGCCTTCTGCCGGGGTAAAACAAACATTCATCACCCCACAGACGGGAGTATTGTTACGTGACGGTCCCAGTCACGCTGCAACAGCCTAAAAGCAGAAAAAGTTTGATTGACCAACATCATAATAAAAGTTGTAGCAATTTATTTTATGTGTTGGAAAGTCCTGCTGCAAGCAACTTACAAACTACAGTCATGATTGGCAGTAATTCTCTACCAGGCAGATTAAAGTGCTGCAAATTAAGCAGACCAAAGAATATTTTTATATTTTAATTGCTCTTTGCTGTAGAATAAGTTGTAGCCGTTTCTTTCTAAACATACAGCTCTGGAAAAAATTAAGAGACCACTTAAAATGATCAGCTTCTCTGATTTTATTTTCTATAGATATATGTTTGAGTTAAATGAACATCGTTCTTTTATTCTATGAACTACTGTCAACATGTCTCTGAAACTACAATCAGAAATGTTCTATTTATTTGCAGAAAATGAGAAATGGTCAGGCCTGAAATAACACAAAGAAAACAAGTTTATGTTCATTTAGAAACAACAATATTAATGTTTTAACTCAGGAACAGTTTAGAAATCAAGATTTGGTGTAAAAACCAGGAGGTTTTCAATGACCTCTTAATTATTTCCAGAGCTGTGAAATTATTACCACCATGGTAAAGACTACTGGTGCGACTCACTCCCACACAATAAATTTAATCAAATCTGATTTCTAATTAAATACATCTATTTAGGAATAAAATCTTACATAAATAAATTATTGTAGAGTCTACATGGGTTTTAAGGATCAGGAGAAAGTTCAGGAATAGATCGTCTTTAAGGTCGGCATGGTCTTCTTCAATACAGGTAAGAACAGTATCCATATCTTCTGCACAGTCAAACTCTAGTGCAGTTTAGACTCCACCAGTCTGACCTTTTTAGACAGAATATGATCTAAACATATCAACAAAATCTGTTCTGTTGGTATGTTTTAGGTCAGTGGGCCAGAGTTGGTCTTTGAGTGCTGCTGTCTTGCATGTTGTGATCGTTCTCTTGTTTATCACAATGGAAAGATCAAAACCGTCATTCGTTACAAGGCTTTTGTAAAACCCCATGACATGCTGTGAAGGTAATTAGGCTGTCTGAATCAGCTCTTTTAGAGCAGCGACACATCTAAAACATGCCATGACCTTCAGCAAGCACAGAAGTACTTTGCAGTCGAGTGTTGAGAGAACAACCCAAAAAGGTTAAGTGCTTTCCTTAAAATTAAGAAATGTTGGTGTCTTGTTCATAAGTAAAGGACGGATGCAGCAGGAGAGATGGGAAGACAGCTTGGGAATCTGATAGCATCGAGCCTGCTGTAGTTTGTTACTGTAAACATGGAGCTATGCAAAGAGAAAAAGCCTTTTAATTTACCATGTTTAGACTCTGCTTGTGGTGATATGATATGGATCTTTTCTGAAACAATTGCCAATAAAACACCTGATATGAGTTTGCTGTGTTGAGCAGCCGCACCCAGGTTTCAGGATGGAGTGAGGTGCTAGCTCATCCATGAAGATATAAGGGTGCATTCACACCTACCCTCTTTAGTCCACTTTAATAAAACACTGGCTTATTTGCCTAGAAAGTCCAGTTCATTTGGGGAAAAAAACAAAAAATCTAGGACTTTGGTGTGGTTTGAATGCCTATGTGAACGCCAAGTGAACTGGAGACCGCACCAAAAACAGGAAGTGAACTGTAGGACAGGGCAGGGCATTCTGGGTAAATAAAACCTAAACAAACAAGCAAATGCCTGAACTAGACATGACCTTTTACTGAAATAAAAGAAACATCTTGCAATTGCTAAAATTTGATGCTACTCCATTTTTCAAAGAAGGATGTTAAGCTCATGTCTTCTCCAGGGCTTTTTGTGTCAGTAGTTTGGCATACAGCGCCCCCACAGGTGAGGAGGTGAACAAGTTTTTCAAAAAGCTCAGATTGCTTCATACAGTGCAGATTGAAATTTAACCACATGAAAATGTGACAAATGTTGCAATTTTGATTCCTAAATGAATAGAGTCTACTGGACTGTCAGGTGTGAAAAAATCCTGAGCACTTCTGCTGCTCATCAGCATAGAAAGGAATCGGTTGTGGTTCCAGCATCTCTTTGGAGGTTTGTTTAAGAACATCGCACTAAAACAGTGGAGGTGTCTGTCTATTCTGGACTGGGCTGCTCGACAGACGGATGTCTGGGTGTTTCTCCTTGACCTGCTTCCCCAAAGAGCCAATCCACAGCAAAAGACACTTAAGGATGGATCGATTTATTGTAAGGCTTCATACAAACATGAAAACATTAAAGTGTCAATAAAATAGTTTTTAAAAATGAATATCGGACATGCTCGGGTACATTACACTTCACTTCTGTAATAAGGGTGAAGCGACAGGAGGAAAAATTAACGAGGTGAGGTGCACAGGAGGGGAAAAGAGCCTGACAACGACTTACCTTTTGCTTGAAACCAATTTCATGTGACATCCTCTTTATAGTTCAGGATTATATTCAAGCATCAGAGCTTAACCGAAGAAATTCACCAAGTGAGACCGACTGGGAGGGTTAGTGGTGGGGACTCAGAGAGGAACGACCTCTGCCTGACTCCCGCCATCGGTTCTGGGAGGTCGTAAAGTTGTAGACGAGCGGGTCAGAGGTGCGTCACAGACTCGGCCTCAGTGTGCCATGTTAATGATGACCGATGTTCTCCAATTAGATGTGCTGACAGGCCCTAAAGCGCTGTGTCATTAATCACGACACTGTCGTGCACAAAGAGAAAATCACACCATGATTTATTGCTCCTCTGCTTCTCTTTTCTCACTCTCTGCTCCATCTTCTCCCTGCTCTGGTGATCTAAAAGGGATTCTTCCCCGCCTCCTTGAAACTTAATCAATCAGTCGGTGTGATTTCAAAACGTACTCTGTAGGAATTCCAGGAAAAATCTATTTGTTTAGCATTTGAAAGTTTTCTTTCAATGGGATGACGGACATAAATAAGACAAAAGCCAAGCTGCTGTTGGACGTCGTTGCACGATTTGTGTTTGAAGGACGGCAATGGTTCAAGTTGACCTAACAACAGGCTCATCCATCGGACAAAAGAAACTCTGGAGATAAGGTCTGGGGAGGACGTCAGAATTCACAGACTCATGCATGTCGACCTGGCCGTGCTCACCATACAGTACTGCCAACTCACTGATGCACACAGACAGCGCAGGATCCTACGACCCGAGAAGGAAGGGCATCAACACCGAGAAGGCCAGGGGAAGGGGCAGGAAGGGCTAGCAGGAAGGGGTGAAGGGAACAGGAAGTGGATTGAGTGGGATTTTGTGTCTGGAGGGGTCAAGGCAGGCAGATGGTGCGAGGAAACGAGGGGAGGGGTTGGGGAGAAGTCCATACTGTACTCACATAATCTGAATCCGCTTTCGAATCGTAGTATGAAATGGCATTCTCCTGTGCAGAAAAGAAAAGTAAGAAGAAAAGATGGTGAGAGAAGATATAGCTGTGCCTATATCAGTCCCGACCTGTGGTGGTGAGCAGGAGAGAGAGAAAGTCATGGTTATATTCAATCACACCGTTCAGCATGAGAATATAATCAGCATCACAGAACACAGAGGAGTAGTGTGATGTAAAATGATAGTCATGACGAGGCAAGATGTACGAAACTTGTGTTCGGCACAAGTTTGAATCTCATAGTGTGAAGTCAGATGGTCTGAGATGAAGACAGAAAAAGGACTTAGCAGTTCAGAACTGCATTTTTCTCAAATATTATTTTTTCTGTGTTTCTACAAACATCTCCATCCAGATTTTGGAAATCAGAAGGTGGTATAACCTTTGAGAAAGTCAAATGTTACTCAAAATCATGTTTGAAACAGTTGAATACTGTTTTGTAGAATCTTTTAGCGGTCAGTAAAAATTTTCTCTAACCAGTCATAAGGAGGTCGCTTCTGCTGTGGGTGTGGAGAAAACAGTCAGCTATGATTTTATGCTTTCAAGCTTTCTTTTCCATTAACATAACTACATTATAAAAAAAGGCTTCGTTAAATCTTCACTTTCGAAAATTTGTTTTTCTTGCCTCCAAATTAGTTTGCATGTAAATGAAAGGATCAAACAGAGAAAAAAAGACTTCTTTGAAAAGCATCAGTGTTGATGTGGACAGGGCCTTTTCCTCTACTTTTTCTCCTCTGTGGGAGTTTTATCACCCTCTGCTGTTAGTGTGGAGTTGTGGTAAACAGCTCCCAAGCAGAGAGCAGAAATATACATAAAAATAAATTAATAAGAGTGAAAATTTATACCACTCCATTTAATTGTTTTGTTCCACTTAACCACTTGAGTTTGTAGCTGCCAGATTCAGATTTTTAAACCAAAGCTTTCAGACTTCATCCACCCTCGTTTTCAGCAGACTGGCCACCCAGTCGTCCTCGTTTCCCTCTCAGCTGGAGTCCTTATCGGCTCCCAGGTAGGCGGGAGGGTTTGGCAGGGTTTGGAGAGAAAACATCCACCGTGTGGTCCGCCTCATTGGGATGAGTAGAGACTAGCTGAGGATGCGTTCTCAGGCAATGCTGTGACTGGCGGAGCTGCGGTCGTAGTCTGGTGAGGGAGGCCGGCTGACAGAGAAATGTGGTTCAATGTTTTATACGTTTTCTATTTATTTCGATCTAAGCATTAACGCGAAGACAGGGATGATCACTTTCTTTGCTTTCTCACACATGCATCCCCTTCCTTTTAGGTTAAAATTAATTACCTCGGGTTAGCGTTATAATCCTTGACACTTAGTTTAAAATTTCACACTGTAAAAAAGGACACTCATTGGATAGACTGATACATTATCATAATTAGTAAACATGTTTGGTTTTATACGCTGTAGGAGTCAAGTAGTTAAGCCCAGATCAGATTCTGCATTTTGTTTATTATGGAGGAGAAAAACATATCAGCAAATGATACCTATTAAGAAAATAAAATTAACTTTCATTTAGTTAAGAATAATTTAATTTGATATTGTACCGCAAAATATTCTAACAAAATAATTGAAAAACTATCAATACCCTTAAGTTTTTCGCATTTTGTCATACAAGTTCAATCTGCAGTATACAGCTCTGGAAAAAAATGTAGAGACAGCTCTCTAATTTTACTCTTTATAGACATATGCTTGAGTAAAATGAACATTGTTTTTTTATTCTGTGAACTACTGACAACATGTTTAAAATTCCAAACAAAAGCAGAAAATAATGAATTGTCAAAATAAGAAAAAAGATGTAAACGATGTGCTTTCACACCTCAAATAATGCAAAGAAAACAAGTTAATGTTCATTTAGAAACAACAATACTAATGTTTTAACACAGGAAGAGTTCAGAAATCAACATTTGGTGGAAAAACCTGAAGGTTTCCAATGGGCTTCAGTGCAGTGGACTCAAGTTTTTCCAGAGCTGTATATCACTGGGACTTTACATCATAGTAGTAGTGCATACATGTATAGTAAGAGGGAAATGATACATGGTTTGTGAAATTTGACACAAATGAATATATGAAAAGTGAAGAATACATATTTATTTGAGCCCTTCTGCTCCTTTACCTCTGCATAAATTCAATATAAGATGATGGGAAAGAGGTTCAGGAACAACATCTCTAAACATGCAAAAGGAGATGCAATATCCATGCGTTTAAATGACCTAAACCCAATCTAGACATCTAAAATGAGACCAGACTGAGAAATTAGTTTTCACACATATTCTGCGTCCAGTTTGACTGATACAATTATTTGAAAGGGAGAATGAGCAAACATTTTGGTCTGTAAATGTGGAAGTTACTGATGACAAATTTATGCCATCATTTCCAAATTACTTGCAAATTAAGTTAAAAACATGTATCATTTCCCTCCCACTTCATAGTCATGCTTTACTTTATACTGATTAAACACATAAAATCCCAAATAAATATACTGCAATTTGTGGATGTAATCGGAGAAAATGTGGAAAACTTTGAGTCATTAATACTCTTCCAACACACTGCACTACATGGTATAAACTTGTTTCAAAATAACAGACTTGTATTATACTGATAATTAATCAGACTGCAACCATAACTCAGGACAGCAAAATTTAATACACTTCCTGCAATAATTTTTTTTTCTTGGATAATTAATCAAAATACTTTCTCCTTAATTTAGATTGCTGAAATTAACAATATACTGGTTGGCATGAGGGTAGAATATTTTAAATTGAGCATTTCTGCTATTTTTTGTGGTAATCACCAACAATTAACATAAAAACCAATAGTATTTGAAGGCTTAAATGAAACATGACTGCTGTTATTGTCGATGAAAATATGTTTATTTTCAATTTCCTTTTTTAATATTTGTTAAGTGTTTAGTTAAAGAGTCCTTCCCCCTTTTTCTAATTAAAGACCCTCGCACTCAGACATGTAGCACTTAAATTTAAGAGCAAGGGCTGAACTAGGATTCAGACACATCCTAACAATTACAAACATCATATTCAAATAATTACTATTTTACTTATCTAAATTTCTCTACGTTACTCTCAGGATACGCAGTGAAGACGTCACTGCTGAGGTCTAGCACAGGTCAGCCAAGAAAGTACCGTATCAAAAGAGTTGGAAAAGGGAAAAGATGTGATCAAACTGAAACTGACACCAACACAAGGTACCGTTTGTGATCAAGTAGAAACAGGAAGAGAAAGAACCGATTCTGCAGCTCCTTCTTCCTTCCAGCTCTGAAACGGATCAGGAGTGAGGATGGAAGTAAATGAGAAGAGTGGAGGGGTCGGAGCGGATCAGTCAGGGAGCAAACTGGCGAAGTTGGAGGTTAGGTTTGGGTCGGGCTGATATGAAGGGATGGACTGAGGGAAGGGAGATGTATGGTGGTCGAGTGAGTAGAATGAAACAGAAAAAGACTGCCAGGGCTAAAAATAGCTGATGCCTTTGCAGAAAGAGTAGAGGAGAAAAACAGTGAAAGAGAGTGTCTGAAGGCAGGATGGGTCCGAAGCCCAGTCCTGCTCAGACTGGTCTGTCATTTCTAAGGAGTTCACTCTTACATCTGCAGCCTTACATGTCCTAATTCAGGACAACTTCCTGTAGAGAAAAGCCTGGTTCTCCACATCCAGAGCACAACATGAACAAACAGATACGAGACAGAGACAAATGTGGGCAAATTTATATTCTGCTGATTTAAAAAAAGTACAAGTTTCACAATATGTAGTTCTCATGTGATGTCACACGTCCGTGAACGGCCATCTTGGCAGGCGGTTGCTGTGACAACAAGGAACAAGCCACTAGCTTAGAACCAGCTCTTGCCTTGTTCCTAACTTATAAACAATACAATAAGCACATTATAAGTATTGTTCAGTCACAGATATTTATACTAAGATAAATATCAGTGATGTTTACTGTAGTTATTACTGCTGAACTAGCAAAATTAGTTTAGCGAATGTAGCTTTTATGAGCAAGCAAAGACAAACACCTTGCCTACATGTATGTTACTTCCTTTGCGAGTCACCAGAACCTTGTTATCCACATGAAGATCGTAAGTCCTTTACAAAGTTATTTAAACATTGATAGTATCCATCCCTAACTAATTCTGATAAAAGCTACTAGGCTGTCCAAAAAGGCAATGTACGTCAAGACAATATCGGACTGCATAAAGCCATATTTTCATCCAAATATTCCACAACTGCACATAGCAGTTCTTTCCCTAGCAGCCCTGGGTAATTTGTAGTTATTCATGAATGCAATCTGAGCACACATGCACAGACGAGACAGCTCAGTGCTCGTGTTTCCAAAGCCACCATGACCCTGAGTCATGACCAGGGTCAGCGGAGCCATCTGCTGCAGCTGGTCACAGGTCTCTTTGGGTACAGATTTAGGTTAAACACACATCTGATTCCACATAAGCGCAGCAATTATCCTTCACTGATCTATTTACCCTTTATGCACACGAAATGTATGTTGTTTACATGCAAAGAAAATTGCATAAGGTATTGATTTGAATTCTAAATTCATTTGCACACATATAGATTGGACATGGGCTCAGTGTTGATCGTGGGAGAAATTCCCACCGACACAAAGTGCTATCAGTAAATTAAATCTATGACTCAGAGTGAACCAACAAATACAAAAAGGGAGACAAACACTGAGGTCAGGTGATGATCTCCTGCCCCTCCCCTGCATCAATCTCCTCCGCTCATCTTCTACACCCCCTATCCTCTCCTCACTCTTATCTCACTCTGCCTCCTTTCCTCTCATTTTGCTTTATCACTCCTCCTTCTGCTCCTCCTCTTCCTCCTCCTCTCCCTCTCCTTCCTGCCATGTCTTATCTTCATCTCTCTCCTCCCGTCTCCGTTTCTCCAACCAGGCTCCTCGCACCAATTTCAGACTTCGGCAAAAGCAGGAGCGTGTAGGTTAGATGTCTAACGTTGCTATAGAAACCGCCTCTCTGCTC